CAGAACGAGACGCTGGAGTGAGGTCAATGAACAAAACCGCCAAGGGTGGAGTGGGCGGGTAAGCGATGTCCTGCTCAAAGCTAACGTGGAGCGATCTGAAAGCCGATACACTAAACCCGCGGAAGACTGGCCCGAAAGGGGCGTGTTCTCTATAGCAATTAGCAATCATCACCCGTGGTGATCCTTGTACAATTACTTGTAATATCAAACACAGACTACAATGTTTGGGCAAAACAGTTTATTGACCAGCAGAACGAGACGCTGGCGAGAGGTCAATGAACAAAACCGCCAAGGCCCAAACATGGTAGTATGTGGTTGAGAGTGATTTTTATAATTAGAGAAAATTAATTAACAGTACTAGTTGAAGAAATGGAAGATTAAACTAAACAGCAATATGTGAAATAGCGGCAGCCATGTGAGTAGCAGCTGCCCTCTTTTGTCGATCAGTCATTTCAAGATAAATTAAATAACAGTCACTACGCCAGTGGCCTTGTGCCTTAATTAAATCAGATGGTACTTTAGCTTCAAAGTCAAAGGTAGCGCCACCGCGTCTAAAACTATGAGGGGAGTAGCTAGTAGAATCGATACGGACAGCTTTGATAACCCTGGCCAGAAAAGAACTAAAACGCGTATAGGTAATATGACTCAATGAACTATCGGACATAACCGAGAATAATGGCATGTACTGGGGTACCTGGTTAATCCGAAGGTGGTTAACCAAAGTGGCTACAGGGCACAACAAACTACCCGGAATGCGCGGCAAGGGTAAAGAAAAAAAACGTTCCTGAAACTGAATAGTTTTAGACGCTCGAACTGTGAGATAAGCGAACTATGCATCAAAACAAAGATCTGACCGCAAAAGGACCTTAAGCGAGACTTGCGCCGCGCGATCAACAACTAAATCCGACTAATGCGTAAAAAGGAGTAAAAAGCTACTAGAAAAAGCGCCCACATAGCGACATGCAAAGGCTTATCAAAATCGAAAAGGTTTTACAATGCGTAATAACAATCGTGGAGTGATTGGAGCCTTGCGCTGAAATGCTGTTCCTAAATAACGCTTAACTCCGCGTAACAACAATTTATAACGATAATCACTATCCCAAGTCAAATCATGACCGAGAAACTTATGCATATGCTTAATGCTACTTAAATGATTCAGGATAGTACCATAAACGCGGCCGAGAGACACTAAATAAGCTATGTAACGTGTAATTAATTTTACAGTCACTGGAAACGGAGCGGACGAAACCGCCTCACAAAATGTCAGATAAATCTTTATGTGGGAGTTCAAGTTCCGCCGGGTTGAATCTGCGTATGCTCACTCGGCTCGATCAAGTCGGGTCCGAGAGAATCCAATGCGCGAATATCTAGTGATGGTTGAACTGGCCTGCGACGATCTGCAACAAAGCCACAAAGCACCCATTAAGAAAGGTCAAAGGCTAAATCCTCGCTGTCCACGGATAACATGTGAAACAAAGGTTACGCTGAGAAGCGAGTTCATGAACTTTCTTTGAAACGTAGAATCGGCATCCCAGCGACTAAGACAATCGGCAAAGACATTGTGGACCCCCGGAATATGAGAGACATGTAAGTCTAAATCATAACGAGCTGATGTGAGCCAAAGTTGTCTTAAGCAACGCTGCATGAAGGCATCACGTCTACGACCTGAGCGTACCACCTAGACGGCCGCATCGTTGTCACACGAAATCTGGAATGTAGAACCTGCCAACTTGGGGGCCCAAATCTTAGCAGCCATGACAAGTACAAACAGTTCTAACGCATTGATGTGCAAGCGATGTCTTGCTCAAAGCTAACGTGGAGCGATCTGAAAGCCGATACACTAAACCCGCGGAAGACTGGCCCGAAAGGGGCGTGTTCTCTATAGCAATTAGCAATCATCACCCGAGGTGATCCTTGTACCGTCAGTAACTGGTTATGGTGAGTTATGCGTGTGCTTTTAGCCAATCAGAATTGGGGAAATATTTCGAATGAATAATAAAATAAGTTGTAATTTAAATGAAGATCTGGATCCGCTACTGATTAATGAGCCACAAGACTGATCTTCAAATAGTCATGCATGACACTCGGAAATTATTACATTTTACGTTGTTACATTATGCCTTAGAATAGTTATTGCACTTTGCGTTGAAAATTCAATTACATTCTGCGTCAATGTTATTAGTTTTTGCATTAGTATAACATTTTGTACAGGTAATCACATGATTTCGAGTGCAATTTGGAATAAATAAGCACAAGTAAATTTTTTCAAAGGCTAACAAAATTGCACGAGCCCGTAGGGCGAGTGCAATTTGTGGTCTTTGAAAAAATTTACGAGTGCTTATTTATTCCAAATTGCACGAGGAAAATCATGTGATTACTTATTAATAATATTCAAGAAAAAAAATGCGAGATAGCTTTAAAATCACGTAAACCACGTGCAAAAATAATTTATTCAAGTGCTGCAAATATCATCACACTTGCAGTCAAAACAACATTTTTCTCGACGTTTTTAAAGTTTACAAGCCGCAGAAACGGGCTAAACAGTTCATGGAATCGTTCAATCTGTATCGGAGTCACTTTCGATGAAACGCAATCGCCGTTTGCAAGGGCGAATGGTAGGCGAAGTCTTGTTGTTGAGGTTGAATGTTACATTGCAGTTGGTGAAGGAATTCATTACATTCTGCGCTTGTGAACTCATCTTATGAGGAATTACTGCACTTGAAGTACAAGGACCAGGTGTATTACCCGCTGGCTTCGGTGTGCTGTTCTTTCGTGAGATGGCTCACGAAAGCTGTCGCTGTTCGTCTTCGTCTGCTTCATCGTAGTCATCTAAAGATTGGATATTTCTGTGACCAGTGACTTTTGCAATTGCCGACCTTTCGAGATTCGCCTTTTTCATTTTGCTGACTACTGTTTTACGGGCGCTGTGATTGGAAAACCGCTTCTCAGATGTCTCAAGGCTGGTTCCGGAGATGATGCTCTTCATCATGGAGTTGATTTTATTTTCTCCCATGGGCTGTACCTTGTACCAAATTTCGTCGTCGGCTCGTCTGTTGTACTTTATCGAGAGATAAAATGGACCACTCGTCCTCAGATTGGGAGGTCTACGGCTAATGTACTGACGAAATAAAGCAACTGGGCATTTTCCTTCCCCGGTCTGAAACATTTTGGGCTGGAACTGTCTTGGCTTTGCACTCAAACCTCCAGGTCTTGTTTTCGTAGGCCCCTCTGCAAACTCAACAAATTCGATGCCGTCGTCACCGTTCATGATTCTGAAATCCTCCAGTCTCATTCCGTGGTGTTCTTGCCTTCCACGGAGACCAAAGTGTTGGGTAAGGAAACACCACATTGTTTGAATTAAAGATTCTGGGTTATTACCTCCGAGTTTTCCGCTCTTCCAGAGAATTTCTTCTTCCTCCTCTGATACTTGTCGAGCTTTGTTTGGGCGCTTACCACGGCCAGCCAAGCGAAGCTTTTTCGCTTTGCCTTCCAACACCTGTTTGGACGAACTAAATTCTCGGTCACGTACAATGGACAAGGTGTAGCCTTTGTTCTTTAAGTGTCTGTCAAGCGATGCCATCATTACTTTGAGGCTTTCTGGTTCATAATCTTCACCATGTTTATTTTTCACTTCGGCGTAGAAATGCTCGAGCAAAGTGTTAAGCTCAACCGGCTCATAATTTTCTATTTCATCTGTAATTTTCTTTTCTAAGCACCACTTCTTCCAAACAGAGAGCCAAAAATCGGTGCTTTTTGCAATGTTTTCGTTTTTGGAGCAGTTTTTCAGTTCCTCTATAGTTGTTGCGGTCGCAAAAGCAAATCTGCTACAAACGCCAGCCATTGCGGTTTTTGCTCTACACTAGTCAAGAGCGGATCCAAATCTTGCGCCATTCAGATGACGCACTTGATTGGCTCTCAGTGAGTTCCTTTGTTTATTAACCAATCAGAATGCCTTGTTTGTTACCTTTTTTCTGCACTGTGTTACCAAAAAACTGCATTTCTCTTAGCCAATCACAATCGAGAAATTTTTTCATGTATATTATTAGCAGCGTAACACCCACAAAGAACAATGGATTTTTCGTCCGATCGGAAAACTTTTCTCGGTTGGGCCAGGTCTTACCGGAAATTCAATTTGGCCCTTTCCGTTTCCTGAGCGCATAGACCTTCGATCCGAGAATTTATAGCTAAAACTGAATAGAGAAGTTCGACTTTGACATGGCGCGAAACACGTCCTTCGAGAGAAAGAAATTTCGGTCAGAGAGCGCGTTTCATTAAAATCTCCAAAAACTTTCGAAAATTTTAACAATAAAAACGTTTACTCCAGTTAATAGATAATTAAACAAGTAAAAAGTGACAATATAATGCAAACTCGACCCAGAACTTAAGACAAAAGCCAAGGGACGAAGTTCTGTATAAATGTAACATCCTGACTTTTTGGCCACCAGTCATGACGTCTGAATAAAGAAAATGAGAAAACGAAAGCGAGCTCAAAAGGAGTTCAAGTAGTGTCTGAGATTTTGTTAGCTTTTCTAAAGAATCCCCTCTTCCTGAGCCTTAATTTCTGTATACAAACCCCCTTAAAGTTCCTTAATTAAGTTCGACGAAGGAGAACACTATTCAATTACCGTTCGAGTACTGTGTTGTTTTTGCTTTGTTACCCTGACCGTCATAAAGCTGCGGGCGTTTAACCGTAACGACAACAACTTTTTATTATTGTCTGAGCGCTTTACAAACTGAAATTAACATATTATAGCTAACTACCAAACAAAGGTATGTCTACAATGCAAAAATGACATCCATTGATTATCTTATATGATTGTCACTACCTGCAAAATAGAGCAGGCTAATAGCTGCTTGCAGTGACAACAATTTATTAAAAGCCTAGAGACAGTTATAAGTGAAACTGTCTAAATTTTGAAAAAATTAAATAAGTAAAATAGGTGAAAAATGAACTAGTTGAATGAAGCACACACTTCTAAATGGTAAAAGGTAAACAACCAGTGGCCTTTTCGTGTTGTCTTAGTAATTTAAAAAATTTGCAAAAACCAAAGACACGATCTGAAACGAAGTGATCAAAGGAGAGCGTTTGTGATTGCTTCCGAAACCTGAGCCATGGGGTCCGTTACACCTGTCTTCAGAGCAGCAGTTGTAGAGGCACTTACGTACAGTAATCCCACTCTTTTCCCACAGGTCCAGGGTATCTTTGCAAAACTTTTCTCGTTTTTGTTTTGAGTCGCAAAATGACTAAAAATTAAAAAAGAATAGGATAAAATATCAAACAACGCAGTCATAAATAATTCCCGTCACTCCCCCCACCCCTTCCTCCCTTAACACACACACACACACACTTATAAGAACTCCCAGTTATAGGCCCAGCTACCTGTAAACAAAAAAACTACGTTCGCTTATAAGCTCTGCCCCCTCCTGACGGTAAGTACCCCTCAAATTCTTTTCCAAATCTATTGAAATGAATTCGATTTATTATCATGTTATGAAGCCTAATTAAAAACAGGTTAATTCAAAAGGTAATTCAATCCGGCACTGCTATAGCTTCTTTAATTCTATTCCTGTTATAAGTCCCCTCGGATATAAGCCTTTCAGTTCATAAGTCCTGCTCCTAAAACCACGTACTTATGTCAAGTCAAGATGTATAAGCCTAAGGCTTATAATCAGCAGTTTTCGGTAATTTCATTAATTAGCAGACGAGTTTTCCAGCCAACTGACACCCTTTTTAGGATCTTGCTTTTCGATGTCTCGAGTTAAGACCGGGCTGGACGGGAATTGAAGGGTTGGTTCACTTTCAGCCAAGGGGACTTTTATACCATCTCGACACTGAAATCCCAGCTAACCGAGGTTGCTTTGTTATCAAAGTGTGTCAGCCCGGTTCTTTTAATCAGGGTCTTACTTAGAAATATCAAATCGTTCCTAAATCGCAGGGTACGGCTGTATGTTAAAACAGTTGGTCGATGCAGAAGAGTTAAGAGTAAGAGTCATCTTTGAAATAGTAACTCAGGATCCTCTGCCTGTTTTGCAAAGTCAGCACATTTCATACGAAATATTTCGGGAGAAACGTTGCGCGACCACATAAATAATTCTTACTATTAAGGGAACTAAGGACGGACCATTAGAAAAGTGATGGGGGGAGTGGGGAATTTTCAGCTTGCACGAATTTTTTTTTTTCGCTCACTGCTTGTGCAGGAATTTTTTTTTAGGTGAACCCCTCTGCACGAATTTTTTTTTCAGAAAAATATTGCTTTTTTTAACAGTGAAATCTTGATTCATTATCTATGTTTTTATGCTTTAAAAAATTATTCTACAGTCACAACAGATCAAAGGATACAGGCCACTTCAATGTAAAATCTTTTCGAAAATGTACACACAGTGAGAGAGGAGGAAGCCACTTGGAGTGGACGGCTTCCCTGTACATTTTTTCAGTCCCTGCCCTCGGGAATTCCTCTCCCACAGCCCATCATAATGACTCCATACTCCATTCACCAAAACAGCCCTTCTGTAGTGCCCTCCACTCCAAAATGTCAATCTAAAAAGAAGGTATCTCCCAATTGCAGGCGAGAGAATGAAATATTCGAGTTCATTGCGCGATTGTGAACTCTGGTGCAGAAAAGAACGATCAAAGCGCACCAACCTATTGTTGGGAACGGCAAAAAGTCCCACGATCGACAGTTGGACACCCTATTACCAGAACCAAAGTCCATAGGGTATCCTGAAAATCGCCAGATCACGGTATCCACGCGTCTCTATCATAGGGCTGTCCCTAAGATGCTCCAAATTTTTAATATATAGATTTAGGCACGGCTAAAAGCGAAGCTCCCATTGATAAATTTATAATTTAAATCAAACAATACACTTATAATTCCACAAATCAGTTAACTTAAGGGCGCATTCATGCGACTTTTGAGGGAAAAGCTAAGTGATTTTGGAGTGAAACAAATCTTGTATCGAGTTGATATAGCCTTATATGTACACTCAAAAAAATAGTCTTCGGTCACAATTAAAAGCAATTTTATAATGGCTCTTGGTCACAGTAGATAAGGCGTGGAAAACAAATCAGGCCGATTTTTTGCGTTCGACAAGTTTACAAATTCTTGCCTGTCCAATAAATCTGGGTACACCCAAAAAATAGTCTTCGGTCACATTTAAGAGCAATAATGGCTCTTGATCATAGTAGATAAGGCGTGGAAAACAAATTTTTTGCATTCGACAAGTTTACTTTACAAATTCTTGCCAATAAATCTGGGTGCGTGCAAAACAACCTTTTATTTTTTATACACCACATCTGAGGAGAAAGAGTACTATGAGGCGCTGTTTTTATCATACAGACCTCTACAAAATGCAGTATTTCACAATTTTCAAGACAAATTGCATTCATTCAATATTCAAGACCATCGAAGCACGCGTGGACTTCTAGTGAAACAGTACAAAAAATTTCCAAAATCACCTATGCGGCCAGCCGGTTCTAACTTTTGACAAGAACCAAATTTGCGAAGAAATTTTAAAAGAGTTAGGCTTCAACGTGATAAAGAATTCATTGAGCGCTTTTTTTCTCTTTTCAACCAAATTCTTTCGCTTCTTGTAAACTTCCTCTCTCTTATCTCTCTGTAGAAATTTAAAAATCATGCGATTTTTAACTTTCTTAGAGTCAGGAAGCTTGTGTGCTGCAGCAATGTCGCTGTCTTTGATCTCTCCCCCTATTAGAGACCCAATTTCTTTGACAATTTGTTTGGTACACCCGTGCTTTCCAAGCAATCTCTTCTTAAGTACTGTTGTGTTTCATCCAGGACAAAGATGACCGTAACAACTATCGCCCAATTTCTGTGATCTCAGTTGTTGCCAGGGTGTTTGAAACAATTGTCTATGATCAATTATATGCCTATTTAAGAAGAACACGACATCATCTGACATCTGACATCATCTGTAAATATCAATCGGGCTTTCGTGCTATTCATTTAACTGTGACGGCTCCTCTTGAGGCCACGGATACTTGGGCATATAATATTGACCGTGGCAGGCAATGCTGTCGTATTCCTAGATTTAAAAAAGGCTTTCGACACGGTGAACCACGAGATCCTTTTATCAAAACTAAACCTCTCCGGTATTAAGGGTACTGCGCATCGATGGTTTCAGTCATATTTAAAAGGACCACACGCAATGGTCTCCTCTCTAGCAGTTGCTCTTTAAGCCCTGGTGTCCCTCAGGGTACTATTTTAGGTCCATTATTGTTTCTATTATAAATTAACGATCTTCCCAACTGCCTGTCAAATTGCAAGCCTCGGATGTACGCTGATAATACCCATCTTACATACGCGAGCAGCAATATTCACAATATTCAGACAAGTTTAAACGAAGACTCAGAAAATGTTCACAATTGGCTAAGAGCAACCAAACTCACTCTAAATATGACTAAAACCGAGTTCATGTTAATCGGATCTAGGCAGAGGCTAAGTACTGTAACAGTTTCCCTTACACTTGCAATTAATGATTTTCAAGTTACCCAAGTCGCTACTGCTAAATCTCTTGGAGTGCCTATCGATGATAATCTCGATTGGGATAGCCATGTGGAGAAGATAATAAAGAAAGTATCTTCTGGCATCAGGGCCATAAAAGCGAGTAAGGCACCATGTCCCCCAAGCGACCTTACAACTAATTTATCAAGCTCTTATTCACCCTCACTTCAATGCAATTTTTGCACTACTGTTTGGGGAAACTGTGGGATAACCACAACGAACAAACTTCAAAACCTAAAAAATAGAGCAGCCCGTGTTTTCACTAGACTAGACTACGATGAAGACGCTGGATACCCGTTTGAGCTCCTAGGATGGAAAAATCTAGCGGGCCAGCATGAAATTGAAAAAGCCGCGATGGTTTATAAGTCTTAACACAGGTTGGCTCCAGAATGTTTATGTTCTAAGTTTGCAATACGAGAAAGGGCATATAACCTTAGAGACTCTGAGAATAAACTTTGCATCCCTTTACCACAGACGATAAACAAACCAGCCATGAATAACAGAACACTCTTGATAGCAGCTGTATTTCATTTTGTACATCCAGTGGAAAAAGACAGTTAAAAACATCACAAGTTGACTCAAAACTCTGTCAGCTTCAGCTGTCAAAGTAAACAACTTTCAAGATGCTGCATAAATTTTACGCATGAAGTGACCTGTCACCCGCATAACAATTGGAAGTGGAGCGTGACCAACACGAGACCATGGTAAGAAAAGGTCTTCTCCGCCTGTATTTTAAAAAACTGGCTGAATTTTTGCGTCTGAAGTCAGTTTGAAATCAAAATCGTAATAGTGCGGGGCGATACTGACTAATGACATAAACACAACATATTTAATATGAATTTTATAAAAAGTAAACGTGAGCCTGCGATCATTTGAAAACGAGTAAATTGTCAGCGGAAAAGTTCAAAAAATACTCGACCTTGATGGGTCGACACCTGAGCCCGTGATACGATCAGGTGATACTGGTTACCCTGTTTTGACAGCTGTCAATTGATGACAACATTGATGTGCAATCAGCTTTCTCCTGGGCTCCCAAAGTAGCTAGAAAGTGTGAGAGTAAACATTGGTATGCCTGTGGTGCGGACGGACGGTCGCTCGGTCGCTCGGTCACGTGATTACCAAATTTTCTGGGATGGGTAGATTTATTTACCCATGGTGCTCCGCTGGCGCGCTTCGCGCGCGGAGCTCCGCTATTATATTTCTTCGAGTTAAAATACTATGATTTTTCCAAAGCCTCCCATCTTTGAGTCAGAGCATTGATGCTTAATTTCGGCGCCAAGATAATCGCTAGGAGTTCTGTTTTTTTCTTTCTTATTCAGCTTTAACATGTTTGTAAGCATCCATGCATCAATGTCATTCAAACAAGATTCAATCGCTCGTACTGAAGTGACCTGATCTTGAGGCTTGAAAGAGCAGTATAGCTGGGAGTCATCTGCATAAAAGTGATATGCTACAAGTGATATGGGCTCTTACGATGTCATTAAGTGGGGACGTATACAGCAAATACAGTATAGGCCCCAATACAAACCCCTGGGGAACACCACATTGTAGGTCCTTGCTATGTGATGTAGATCCCTCAACATTAACTACAAAATTTAATGACAAATACCCCACCCATGGGATCAGGCGACTTGACAAATGTCCGACAAATACCCAAGGGGGGAGGGGACATGCTTCGATCGGAAACGCTTGCTACGCAGGCTACAAATTGACTAAGGCACGAAATGTAAATTCTTTGGAAAAAGAAGGATCATAGATAGTTGTGTCATCTGAAAACAAGTATGGTAGCACTGTTTAGTTTGACACTAGGGAAGTTTGATTTGGGACTACAAAAAAGAAGCTTCATCACAATCATACCTTGCTTGCGCATTTCATAATATTTGCGTTCATCGTTTGACCTCCAATCAATGTTTCGATAGAAATGTTTGCACATAATCGTGCTGTTGTTGATGCTCCTTCTACTTTGTCGCCACATTCGCTAACATCTGAGACCGATTGACAAAAGTCCTTGCTAGATGTCGGGGAACAAATGTAGCAGAGGATGGCCAGCACTGGAAAAACAAACAGAACTTGTAAACATTATCACTGACATTGTGGCAACAATAAAGACAAAACTGAACAGTAGGCAAGACCGATATGGCGATCAGATCGACACGTCGACCGACCTATCGGCCGATAGTGTCGACCGATACTCGACTGAGGGATACACAAATTACACAAGATCCCAATTTTATTAATGAAAGTGGAAAAGTTTTATTAGTTATTAAAGAACCATGGTAAAGAAGCCTGAAAGTATTGCAGTAGAACCCCGCTCTAAGGACAGCCGCTTTATATAAACACCCTATATAACGGACAGTTATGTTAGTCACGACGAAAAACCCATGTGTTTTCTCTAAAATTAACCCAATTATTAACGGACACCGGTAAATACGGACAAAGAACACTTCTCTATGTACCTAGTCACATACAGTCATATATCCTCAGTAGAATACTATGTTTTGGTGGTTTTTGGTGGTTTCCCTTTGGGTTCCTTTGGGTTCCCTTTTATCAATATGCGTAAGGGTCTAGTTCATGACGTCACCCATTGTTTTAACCTAGGGAAAAAGTGCGTTCCTCCATACTAATTAAGTGACTTCCTCCATACAACAGGAACAATAGGCGTGCCTAGACTTGCCCGCTCTACACCCGCCTGACTGGATATTGTAGAATCTATTATGTGTTTAAAATAAAAGCGGGCAGTTTTTGAACGCGCTATCGTTCTTGCAATCTCTTTGCTAGGAAAAATGTCTAACTATCACCAATATCTTTTTTAAACATTGCTCCAAACATGCAAGTCGAATCGATGGGAACTCTCCGAGTTATCCCTTGCAACAACTCCTTACGTTTTTAAAGTACATTAGACAACTTTGTGAGTATACTTCTTTACTTCTTTATGCGAGTTAACAAGCCCACATTTGCATACAAATTGGCTCTACAGTAAAAACCCCAAAGGAGAACCTTGACGTCTTATTATAAAAACACAAAAACTTAACATGGTTACAATCCTTATCATCAAGTGCCTTTAAGTAACTATACTGTATTTGAATCAAGGCGTCCGTACAGCTGCAGCCCTCCCTATACGCATATTGGGTTACCGTCAGATTTTCCTCAAAGACTAATTCTTATTGTAGTGACATGACGGTATACAGTTCTTTCAAAACAGCGTGCTATAACTGGAGTCATGTTAATTCCCCGAAAATCCGAATATTGAACAGGAGTCCCCCCCCCTCCTTGACGAAATCCGCCACGACACGGAGTCCTCATTAACGCAAAACACGGCACATAAACAAGCTCGAGAAAACACTTAATACCAAAATAATATCTTAAGCATTTATTAAAACAACAGTCCAAAACCACTACAATTTTAAAATCAACTAAGGGTTCTTTTAAATTTTAGTTCCACTAAACAAACAAAACGAGAATATTCTTCAAAACTCTAATGACTAATGTAATGTTAACCTGATTATTAAGCAGAAAAATATGAAGGGATCCCTAACTACTTAATCTACATTTCACAACTTCGTGTCTTCAAATTACAAGTTAACTGTTCTTTTTTTTTTCAGGTCATCTTGCGTAATGCAAAGAGAGTTCTTCGACCCTCGATGATCCACCACGATCCCACGACTTCCTCAGGCAACACCCCTTTTACCCGATCCAAAACTCCAAAAACCTCCAGTAGCTCCGTCTTAGCTTAAAAGGGACTGGTCAAAAAGTATAGGGGGGGTGGGCCGGAGCATTTGGAAATGTGGTTGATAAAAAACACATGACCCACCCCCTTCCTTCGGCACAAAAATGACTGACCCACCCCTAAAGCAAGGTTGGAAATTGCATGACCCACCCCCTAGTTAAAACATGGACGTTCGGTTTCCTCTTAATAATCCAATAAAACCTTGTTCTGTACTTGACAAAATTTGTTGATACACTTTTACAACCAACATCAAAATCACAGAAATTATACCTTTCACTGAAAAGACGAATGTCAAAAACCGAACATTTCTTGTTTCAATGGACGTTACGAGTCTTGACACAAATATACAGCAAAACGAGGGAATATTGAAATTATCTGTCACAAAGCATATGAAAATTTCAACAAAGACAACCCATTCCTACACATTACTTGCCGGAAATGCTTAGATTAATCCTCAAATCAAATTTCTTCCACTTCAGTGGAAAGCACTACTTACAAGACCATGGAACTGCAATGGGCACAAAGACAGCAGTTTTGATTCCTTTGCCAATATTTTCATGACATATATTGAAACAACAATTATAAGCAAAACTGTCTTTAGAACAACAGTTTGGAAATGCCACATACACGATATCTTTTCCCTATGGGACATGAGTAAACCAGACATCGAAGCCTTCATTGAACAAGCAAGCTTACATCACCCAACTATTGAATTCAAGGCCAAAACATTTGACACTGAGACTGCGTTTTTAGACACGGTTGTATACAAAGGCACAAGATTCAAGGAAAAATCTATCCTTGATGCAAAGACACATTTTAAACAAACGGAAAGCTTCTTGCGCACACATTTCACCTTGTGTCACGTTTTTTCTAGCTGAAATTTTCGAAAAGGTAAGTTTGAATCCCTATAATTTTCGTATCACTAGACTTTCAGCTAGGAGATCCGAACAGAAGAAAAATTTTTTGGGGATAAAAGTACGCCTATATCTACTGTTTAAATACTAAGATACGTTTAACAATGCTATGTTTAAGTGGTTTTGAACTATATTCTCGTTGTGTGCCCCCTATCTTTGATAAAAAACCTACTATCAGAAATAAAAGTCACAAAAGGAAGTCTAAACTCCTAAAACAAAACAACAAGGAGGAAAAAGAAATATTGTCATTCGTGACCCAATACCAGCCCTCAGTGTCTACTATCAAGAAAGCTTGAATGAAATAATGGAATCTTATACAAAACTAACTATAACTTCAATAAATTTTTAAAGAACCACCAATCATTTCCTTAAAAAAAGGAAAATTGTTAAAGAACATGCTCGTTAGAGCCGAAAAAAAAGGTTAACAGAGGGTTCCACGCCCGTATAGATGTGCGGCCTGTCAACCTTTGTATTTTCTCGCACAGCAGGTTTGTGAGTATTTTAGCAATAATTCCAGCTGGCTGTGTTTTATATAACAAGTGTAGTCAACTGTCTCGTTAGAAGTTAGTAAAAAATAGGGTGACCCACCCCCTAAGAGTAGCTGAAAATTGCTCGACCCACCCCTTGCACAAAGCTCAAAACCTCATGACCCACCCCCTCTCTGCTCCGGCCCACCCCCACCTATACTTTTTGACCAGTCCCGCTTAATTCTTTTCTCCAGCTGGCCATAATTTCCTATTCTGTTGCGGTTCTCTGGATTTTTACGGTTGTCTGGGTTTCTGCAGCTGCTCTTGGAGAAATTATTTTCGGTCACCATAAAAGTTCTTCCCTCTATTGGCGTTCCCGTACTTTTCGTTCTGTCAACCTTTTTGCAGCACAACTTGCTTCCCCCGACAAAGGACTCTCTGCCGCGCGTGAATCCCAGGGTCGCCTCTGCTAAAGACTTCAGTAGTCACTATGCTGTTCCACAGTTTCTCTCTTACACACAAGCATACACTCCGTACTAAAATTACAGCAACGTTAACTCATTCTAAAAACCACGACTTCAAATTATTAAATCCTACGCAAACGCAACGAAGGTGTCGAGCAAATAAGAGCTATTGCAAAAAGTTTAGTAATTAACGACTTACAATCAATATGCGCTCGCAGCCCCCCCTCACAAGTCCGATAGGTCCACATTTTTGTGAACGATTTTTAAAAACTGCTACTAATTCACTAATTGTGCAGTAAAATTAAAAATACCGTGAAGTAGTCAAAAAGCATGACTCATCCTTTCCACAAAATGTGTTTTAGCCTTCTTTGACGTCCACTGCACGACTATTACGTGAAACCTTCCAATGGGACGTTATATGGAGGACGTGGACATACGACATCGAATTTTCCATTCTCTTTCTGAACCTGGATAAAGTCCTTTAAAACAATTCAACTCCAGGGGAAATCGTCTCCATTTGACAACTGATTGAGCGAGTGCAAACGGACGCAATAGAGTTTGAATCTTTGAAAGGACGCAAATTCATTTTCTTAGCGACGTTTTCACTGCCGTCATCGTCGTCGTCCATTTATCACGCCGTGTAAAGGATCGGAAATTCTCCTTTTTCAATTGGCTGTTAAGCCGCGAGTCACAAAGGATGGACCTCGGATCCGCTAGTGCTTTCATGTAATGAAGCTATACTTTGTTCCTTTTTTCTGTGGCTTTTGGTCTTTGAGGATAGTTTAAAATAGCCGCTTTTTCTGTGGCCAAAAAGTAATATTCCCAGCACGAGAGAGTCTTTCTTCTATAGCTCTTATGCCTGTCCAGGTATTTAAGGCTGATCTTTTGCTAAGAAACACCCAATGAAAGATCGCGATCTAGTGAATAACAAGAATTTACAACTTTCTACCTATTTTTTTTTTCTTTTCAAATAGTGACATTGACATTGCCATTCTCAAAATTGTGAAATAAAGTAGCCTCTTTGCCAAAAAATAAACGATTAGTTGAAGTTAAAAAATATGGGGGTAATGCAGTCTCAGACAACCTAATTCCCCTCCCCTAGCGACCTGCGCCTTTGGCTTCGTTAGGTCCGTCACCTCGTTGGATCGCACCCGCCCCGTGAAAAAACCTTGCCACTGGCCTGGCTTTTCCGCACTGCTAGTGGCAAAACGACCATTCAATATGAATTTACTTTCATCTCCCTCTTTTAGAGAGATTTGTTCATTTATTGAATGTGGACCTTTCTTCGCAAGCAGGCTGACTTGCTCAGACATTCAATATCTTACGGCAGCTGTTGTATAGTCTTTCATCCGACTTTTTCTCGGCTTTTCGTTCATTGTCTTCT